GCCTTCGCAGCGCTTAGCTGCTCGGGCCTAATAAACCAGCATGCTGCGCGACTATGAGGCTACCATTCTCACTGCATGCTCGACATGCACCTCTAAAAGCGCACCTGTGAACACTGAGCGCAGCTCAATGTGAACCTTTGTGTTCACATTGAGCTGCATGAGCAGAGCAAATCTGTTAAATTTAAACTTGACTCTTACCTTTTTTTACTTTATACTTATTGATTGTTTAGATTTTTTTATCAATCACATACAATACACAGCACAGAAACAGACTGTCGACAAAAGGAATTACTTACATTCTGACTAAGATGAACTGTTATAGGATGAAACAGGATACAGATTTACTTTCCATTTTTTGAGCAGCATTTAAAATAACAAGGAAAGAGAGACCTGATTCAGTTATTGCTCTCTAGACATCTTGTCCATTTGCTCCATCTCTTTTTGTAAAGGTCCAGTTGCAGTCTCAGCATGAACATTAACTTTTCCATTTTGTGGGTCTCTTCCACCAGTTCCAGCCAGTCCTTTAGCATTGGTGGGTCAGGTTGAAGCCATTTCTGAGTAATCAGATTTTGGCTGTAGCACTGAAGATTTTTAATAGATATTCATCATTCAGACCCTCAGGAACAGCTCCAAGTAGCAATAACATGACGGGTCGTTGGAATTTAAGACCCAAAATTGACTCAATCTTCCCCAGAACATCCCTCCAATAAGTCTTTATCTTAATGCAGAACCAGAAAATATGGGAGTGATTTGCCTCCGTGTCCCCACATCCCCTCCAGCATTTAGAAGCATCGGGGTTTCTATAAAGCTGCTGCTTTGGGGTTCTGAAAAAACGTATCAAATTTTTCCAACTGAATTCGCGCCAATGGTTTGAAGAGGAGGTTGTTGCAGCGGATTCACACATGTTGTCCCACTGATCTTGTGATATTTCAATATTCAACTCTTTCTCCCATCTTTTCCTAACATAGTCTGTTGACTTTCCTTTGGATCTCAACAATCCCTGATAAAGTTTGGAAATAGTGATTTTTACCAGGCTCGGAGTAGGTTTGTGAAACCAATTTAATTATCTCGTTAGACTCTGAGATACAGGCTTTCAGTATGTGTGCAAAAATATATTGTCTAAATTGCAAATATCTAAAGAAGTCCCCTTTTTCTAAATCATATTTTTGTTGTAGTGTTTGAAAGCTTGGTAGAGAATTTTTGTCCAGTATCCTGCAATATGCAGTTATTCCTTTCTGTGACCAGTTTTTAAAACTGGAGTCTAATTGGTTGGGAATGAAATCTGAGTCAAAGGCGGCCCATCTGAGAACTCGTATCTGGCTCCCCAATTTTAGTTCCTTAACCACGTCAAACCAGGTTAAAAGGGTAAATGACATTAGGGGATTTTTTATTATTTTTTTTTTGGTATGCTGCTGCAAGTTTCTGATCCCCAATCAGAGCTTGTATTGGGATGTTTTCACATTTGCTTTCTAAATCTTTCCATCCAGCCTCGTAAGTACAGTCACACCACTGTACCACTGTTTTGAGCTGAGCTGCGAGGTAATAATCATGAAGATTTGGGAGTGACAAACCCCCTTTTTCTTTCCTAATTGTTAGAGTACTGTATTTAATTCTGGGTTTTCGTCCCTTCCAAATAAAACGAGATATCAATTTGTCCCACTCACAAAACTGAGAAAGAGGAATTTTGATAGGCAAGGAAATAAATAGGTATAATAACCTGGGTAGTACCGACATCTTAATGACCTCAATTCTTGAATTAAAGTCAATTATACATTCAGACCACTGTGTAAGGTCTTGTTTAATTCTAGTATTCACAATTTCATAGTTTTTTTTGTACAGGTCTTTCGGAAGGTAAGTCAACCATACACCCAAGTATTTGCTTTCTTAGACCAGTCAGTAGGGACTTTATCTTTGATCTTTACCGATGGGTAATAGTTAAAACTCATAATTTGTGTTTTATCCATATTTAGTCTATATCCTGAGTAGGTGCCAAATGTATCTAGTAACTTTAAAATGGCCAGGATGGATTGCTCCGGGCTCGAGAGATATAGAAGGATATCATCAGCATATAGTGCTATTTTGTGTTCTCTTGAATTTATTACTATACCATGGATATCACTGCTCTCTCTAATTGCCTGGGCAAGAGGTTCTATGTAAAGTGCAAAAAGAGTTGGGGAGAGCGGGCAGCCTTGTCGAGTGGATCTCTCCAGCTTTATTCTGTCTGTCTGTCAAGCATGTATCTTGATCCTAGCTGTGGGTGACGCATATAATGTTTTGATACTATTGATTGCAGCATCCAAATCGTTCCAAAACTAAGAATAAATACTGCCAATTGACACGGTCAAAAGCCTTTTCCGCATCCAAGCTCGCCATTACTGCTGTGTGATTGTTTACCTGTATATTCTGAATTATATGCAGTGAGCGTCTTATATTATCCTGAGTTTGTTGACCAGAGACAAACCCAATTTGATCCCCATCAATCAGATCTGAGACAAACGCGTTCAACCTATTGGACAGGATAGATGCATATAGCTTATAATCTTGGTTAAGGGTTGATATAGGTCTGTATGAGCTGCGTAATATTTTGTTTTTTCCTTCTTTTGGTAATACTGTTATAATTGCTTCAGACCATGATGGCGGTGTTGTCTTTTTTTCTAAAGTCCAATTTAATGATTTTAATAATACAGGGGACAGTTCTTGTTCAAATACCTTATACCATTCACCTGGAAGACCATCTGTGCCGGGTGTTTTATTTTATTTATTTTTTTTATCACCAATTTCAGCTCTTTTCCAGTAATATCTTCAGTTAAGATTTTATTCTGACATTCTCCAATTGTTGGTAAGTCTAATGAATTGATAAATGTTTTAACATCTTCTACTTTGCTTCGTTCTTGTTGTGCGTATACTGCTTTATAATATGGGGGAGAGAAAAAGGTAAAATCTTTTTCTGTTGGGTGCATCGCCTGCCAAGCATCCTGTAAGCCAATATCATCCATTTCTCTCTTTAGTCATTTACTTTGTGGTGTGCTTATTCTTTAAATTAAGATACCTTGTGACTGATGAAATAACACTTTTTTTCAAAAAGTGAAGGTTATAATTTGGGGGCATATAGATAGAGAAGGCTAACCAAATTTCCCTCAATTTTACCTTGAACCAGTATATACCTGGCTTCACCAACTCGTATTTGCTTTATAAGATCAAAATGCAAAGAGTTATGTATTAGCACTGCGACTCCTCTCTTATGAGCCGTCTTGAATGAACTATAAAAAACTTTCCTGAATCCAAATTTTTGTAGTTTCTCATGATCTATTGGGGACAAATGAGTTTCCAGAAGAAGTAGAATCTGAATTTTCTCCCTTATTATCTTAGACATTACTCTGCTCCTCTTAACAGGGTTGTTGAGACCATTAACATTCCATGAAGCTGCTCTGATATCACCATTAATCATACCTGTATGCGAGTTTGTACATGTCGACAGTTTGAACACGAAAACGGAGATATAAAGAACTTAACACAAACAAGATGACTTCCATCCTCAGGGCTTCACTGAGCCCCAACATCCTACAACCTTTTTCCTTACTTTGTAGGAGGAACAGCCCTACTCTAACTAGGGGCTCCTTCTCTGCCAAAGACAGAGATCCTTCACCTTTGAGCTTAACAGTCATTTCTCCATTAGTCCTGATCAGATTAATCTTATTACATGTGAGGGGGGGGGGGTTGAAACAAGAAATAATTACCGCGTGGGATACAGATCCTCCATAATGTGTTGTTAATACTTGCATAAAGATTGAGGATCTGCTTCAGGAAAGCTATTTATACTTGCTCTCGTTGAAATTCTCGGAGCTTCTCTCGCACACGTTTGGAGTGTGAGCTGACCACTTTATTCCAGTGCACGTCCTGGTTGTTCGCTGGTTCTTCGCCTGCAGTGGTTGATCGCGGCGTGTCCACCTGGTATCCCCTCTTCCTCATGTCGTCCGCTGCTTCTGATGCATTCGCGTACAGGCGTGGTTCGTCGCTCCAGTGAATCCTCATCTTAGCCGGGTAAGCTGTTTGGAAATGTATTTTCCCCTCTTTGAGAATCTTCTTTCTGTATTCTTTAAGCTTATTGTTTATCTCAGTCAGTAGATCGTGCGCAAATTAGATCAATTTGCCATCATAGAAAATCTTCCCCCACGCTGCTTTAAGGATTTTTCTCTTTTATGTCGTATCTGTGAAAGTTGACGAGTATGGATCTTGAAATTGATGCATCTCAAGTTTTAGGTCCCAGTGAGCGATGTGCCCGTTGAATCTGCAGATCTTGGTTGATTGAGAGCTGTTCTTTCAGAAAGTTTGCAATGAACGTCTGCATGGCGTTACCTTCAGCTTCTTCTTCAATGCCATGAATACGGATGTTGTGTCGGGATCTTCTTTTTAAATCGGTGACTTTGTCCAGGAGATTTTTCTGCTGTTTGAGGCAATAAGACAAGGAATCTCTCAAGTCCATGTTCACCGTCTCCAGCTCGTTCACCCGTTGTTCCGCTTCCGTTAGCCTAGCAGCTAGGTTACGAAAGTCCCAGCTGACCTCTTCCAGTTTCTTGTTAATTTCACTCTTAAAGCTGTTCAGGTCTTGCATGGTGTCATTTTTCATAGCAGTGAAGTCATTTTGCATTACTTTGATAGTGTTGCATAGATTCTGGATAGCCTTAGCAGTCATTAGCTCACTCTCCTCGCTAGGGTCCGAGTCCTGCATCATGCTAGCTTTTTCCAAAGTTTCTTAGATCAGTCCTTGCCTGATTGTGACTTTTTGCACCCCCCAGTCTCTTTTTTGATCTAACTCCATGCATAATATATAATTTTGAAGAGCTGAGTCTCTTAATCGAGTTTAGTGGAGTCTTCCTTGTCGCTGATCAGGACAGATTACAGATTTAACCCGCCATCTTGGAGACGCTCCCGGAAGTCTCAGACTTGACTCTTACCTTAATAAATTCTCCAAAGAAACATGGATCCTCATCCTCACACAGAGTTGATGTAAATGTCCATAAAGGTGAGCCTGTGTCCAGTTTGAGTGAAAGCAGGTGTGCGCGATCCATGCCAAAATAAACTTCAGAGATCAAGCAGTGACAATGTGTGAGGCGGTAAACACGCAGAGGTACCAGTGGTGTGATGGTCTGCGCTCCCTGTCCAATTTGTCAACTAATAAAACTATAAAACAACAATACCAGAACAATACAGGAATAATTCTGTCCTGCTGGTAAAATGCTCATTGCAGCAGAGATGCTTGCCGTCTCTTATTTAAAGAAAAAAAATAAGAATTTTTCAAACAAAAACAGAAACAAATTATGCTTAGCCTGGCAGTGAGGTGTGGGGGCAAGTAAAGCCTAGCAGCCCTTGGGGTCAGTGCTGATATGTCTCATTTTTAGATGATTCTCTAAATTTGCAGGAAGCCGTCCAGTTCCTGCAGTCAGTCCGCTGTCTGCGCCTACAAGCTGTCAGATATCCAGCAAGTTGTCAAGGGGAACTTTCTGACTTTGGATAATTCTGGCAAATGGGAGGAATACAGAGGAACAGTGCCTACCCCCTATCCTGGTTCAGTAAGCACCAAGACCACAACAATCTAAGATGGTAGTAAAGAAATGATCCACCTCATGTGATCTCTGATCTGTATTATCAGTGTATTAATGATGAAATGCGAGCCAAAGGTGTGAAGACCTCGAAGGACCTCCCAGACACAACCCTGGAGTTTATGAGGTTTCACACTCTGATGGTGAAAGAGGTGACCCCGATCACTGGGAGGCCCCTGCTGGTCCGGTCTACAGCCCAGTTTTCCAGAATCATTGTTGACAAAGTAACCTCTCTGGATGGACAGCAGCACATCATCATGCTTATTGGCAACAGTAAGTAACTGGATCATACATGATGACTTAACCCATCTTGGCGTTGTTGGCAGGATCAGCCTGGACAATGGCTTTATTGGCCAATGAACAGGCAAAAACTACATGCAGTTTCACTGTGAATGTAAGAGAAAGTTCTGGAGTGCAGTTTATAACATTTCACAGTAAAATAAACTTAGCAGCAGACTCGCTCTGAACACCAAGAAAACCAAAGATATCATCATTGACTTCAGGAAGCAAAGCACCGACCCAGCCCCTCCTTACATCAACAGCAAGAGTGTGGAAAGTGTCCACACCATCAGGCTTCCTGATGTCCTCGCCTCCGCTGATATCTGGCCTGAAAACATTAC